CCTTCCCCTTTCTCTAATAAGTAAATAACATCTTTTAAAGAAACAAAAAGAATCACTGGCTCTCAGGCCTTGTGCAGTGATTACTCAGAGTGAACAGTTTTCCAGGCCCCATCATAGACCTCTAGAGAGGAAGAAAAGAAACTTTGTTAAATAGTTTGCCCACTCTCTGATGCATAACTGTCTCCTGTCCTCTCATTGGTTGAGGTCAGCCTTCTGTGCAGGACTTGGAGCAGTGCACTCCTGCTGCGGCCAGAGCCATCTCACTGTTAGTGCCTGCGGAGCTGTTAGGCAGTGGTTCATTTCTGCTGCATGCCACACTTTGGCATCGAGTGGGCATCCAGCTCTCTGCAGGTTGGGAAATAAGCCTTTTCTTCTTTGAAGAGCCTAGAAGCGCACCCAGGCTCTTTCATGTTCTGCAATACACTGAGATCCACACCTGGGCTCAGAAGTAGACTTCACTGTGATTGGCATTGCTCTTTCTCCCTCGACACTTACCCTGTGTGTTTCTGAAGTCTGCTTTCCCCCACTGGGAGAAGGGGCGTGTGAGCTGCCTGGTTCTGCTTTCCTTTGATCTCTTCTTTCTTGGTTTGTCATCATTGCACCATCAGCTGGGAGCAGCTGACCAGAGAGGACTTCTTGCTGTGAGCAGAACTGAAACAAACCTTTCTGGGGTGTATTTTGTAAGTTTCTGTCTTGGCTTTGGCCGTCCTAACTTGTTCTTCTAAAGTGGAGCCTCTCTTTTTTCTTTGGTCAGGTGTTTTTCTCCAACATTTGAAATTTTAAATTTGAAGTCTGAGTTTACATTGATTTTTTTTTTAAACATTCCTTCCCGCCCTGGCTGGTGTAGCTCAGTGGATTGAGCACGGGCCTGCGAACCAGACAATCGCGGTTCGATTCCCAGTCAGGGCACATGCCAGGGTTGCGGGCAGGTTCCCTGCAGGCCAGTTCCCAGCAGGGGACGCACGAAAGGCAACCATACATTGATGTTTCTCTCCCTCTCTCCTTCCCTTCCCCTCTAAAGATAAATAAATAAAATCTTTAAAAAAATAAATAAAAAATAAACATTCCTTCCCCAGTTCTTCATTTTCAGGATCATCCTCAGTTGCAGAGGTGCAATTTTGCTTGAGGGTTTACCTGTCCTCTTGAGTCATGGTACCCTTTTCCAGTTTCATACCTTCATATGAACTTGTGATTTCTCTGAACGACTTGAATCCATCCATCTTCTCAAAGTTGATAGAGGTGTTACTGGCAGTTTCGGTTGAACAGTTCTTGTCTGTAAGACCGTCTTGTGCAGTATAGAACTTAGTTTCCTGGTCCTTGATACTGCCAGTGGTTCTCAGCAGCTGGGCTCTTGAGAAATTGGGAAATTGGGGTGGGGTGGTATCACAATGCCTGGCATCTAGTGGGCAGGGCTGGGGATGTCCAGGTGGAGTCCTGTTGGGTGATGGCATCACCCTATTGAGAAACACTCTCTTAGGGGGCTGCCCAGCATTCCCTGGAGGTTATGGGCGTGCTTGCTTGCTTGTTTGTTTGTCTGTCTTGATTTCTTTCACTTCTCTCTTACAATCAGTTCTTCCTTGATGGTTAGAATGAATTATGCAAAGGAGGCTGCCTCGTCCCTCTTTGGTGAGCTTAACCTGACAGTAAGGTAAGCTGACAGTTTTTCTGGTAGTTGCATTTCTGAGCCTCCCAGTCCTGCCACCATTAGTCCCTCCCTTTTTTGGGGCCAGCGGGGTGTGGCCTCCTCCTCTCACTGTTTAGTTTTTGTCTTTGTTCATGTATCTTTCGCTATCAAAGCACCAATAAATGCCCTTCCCTGCACACAGTGCCCACTTGTTCCTCCCTTTGTCTTATGTAAGATGCAGTTTTTCACAGCCACATTACAGGTGACCCCCCATCTTGCCATGTTTTTGTAATTCTTTTGAAATATACCTTCTTGTGTTTATCACCGATACTTCATGTTGTTAGTATATGGATTTCTGAAGCCATAAAATATAGTTTCATATTATTTTAAAATGTATTTTCTCTCATGAATATTCAGTATATTCTGTAGTTTCTTCTTTTGATTGTCTAATTTCAAAGTTCTATCTGGAATTTTTTCCTTGTCTGTATTTTTGATAACTTGATAATACTTGGCCCTTAAGGGACATGGTATCTTCTTGTGTCTCTTGCCAGGAATCTTTTTTTAAAATATATTTTATTTATTTATTTTTAGAGAGCGGGGAAGGGAGGAGAAAGAAAAAGAGACATCAGTGTGTGGTTGCCTCTTACGTGGCTCCCACTAGGGACCTGGTGGCCTGCAACCCAGGCATGTGCCCTGAGTGGGAATTAAACTGGTGACCCTTTGGTTTGCAGCCCATGCTCAAACCATTGAGCTATACCAGCTAGGCCTTTTTTCCCCCCTCTCTTTAAAAAAAAAATTATTTTGGAGGAAATCTTTTTTGTCATAATTTCCATTTTATTTTTTATTTTCATTTTTTATTGTTTGTTTCTTCTCTTGCCAGGAATCTTAACTCTAGTGTCTTGAACCAAGGACCAGAAAACTAAAGTACATAGAGATCGTTTCCTATCCCAGAGCTCTTTTCCTTCCCCAAGCCCCAGCTTCCTATCTACTTATTAACCATCATTAAGAAAGTGTTTAAGCCCTGGCTGGTGTAGCTCAGTGGATTGAGCACAGGCCTGCGAACCAGAGGATTGTGGTTCAATTCCCAGTCAGGGCATATTCCTGGGTTGCAGACCCGTTCCCTGCAGGCCAGTTCCCAGCAGGGGACGCACGAAAGGCAACCATATATTGATGTTTCTCTTCCTCTCTCCTTCCCCTCTAAAGATAAATAAATAAAATCTTAAAAAAAGAAAAAAAGAAAGTGTTTGATGAAGCACAACCGGAAGCTTCAGAGGTTTCCTGGTCTGTGTCCTCACACCTGCCCTCATAGGCCAAGGCGATAGTATGGGGGTGAGGGCTTGTCCCCTTCCAGAATCTGCCCAGACTGCACACTCCCCAGGTGAGTGTTTCTGATGAGTCCCAGGCATTAGCAGGAGGACCAGGTGGCAGTTAGCAGGTTGAGTGGTCTTAGGTCCATGCGTTCCCTCCTTCGGGCTCAGGTGGAGGGACCGGGCCACATGTTTTCCTACTGCAAGGGTCAGAGCCATTGCTGCTGGCGTCTTCCCTCACTGAAACCGAGCATTGCTGGGAACTCAGTCTCTCAGTGGCAGCAGCTCTCTCATCGTACTGTACCTTGTTAAAAACCCTGTTTTCAACTTCACCACACAGTTACTGGACCAGAATTTCCCAGGCTGCGGCCCAGACCTAGGCAGTTGTGGTAGGCAGCTAGAGTTAACAAACAGCAGGACCCTTGGGAAAAAAAACTTGGGCCTGTTGCCTGCCATGAAGTGCCAGGTGTCCCAACTGCCTCTTGCATATTCATTTGATGTGCTGTCCTTCTCTGCCTATTCCATGCCAGGCACACTGCACATCCTCCGACCTAGAACCTGTAGCGCTGGCTCAGTTCCCCTTCCTCGCGAATTGTGGCCCCTTGTAAAGGGTGCCTTGTAAACTGTTGGCTGTGTGATGGGAATAGGGGGTACAGAGATCTTTTGGGGTTGCTGTGGGGGCTGATTCAGAGCTTCTCTGCCATTTATGAGCCAGAGCACCAAACCAAGAGGGGCCTCCCATTTACAGTGGTTCATGGGCTGGACCACAAAGGATGGAGCCAAGCCAGTGAGGAAGCTGTCCTTCCAGCCCAGCAGGGGAGGCAGGGCTTAGCTGGGTGGTGTTCCAGGGTTGCTGAAAAGAAGTCACCCAAAAGATGTGGCAGCGGCTGTTGTGCTGTGGATGAGAGGCCAGATGGGAGAACTGGGGCAGCATGTCACTCCAGGTATCTGAGGATGGAGAATGGAGGGGATGTGGGCAGGCACATACATGAAGATGGCTTAGGCTATAACACCTACTGGATGTTCACTCGAGTTGTTGGGAAAGCAGCAGAAGTGTCAGGCTGGTGCACAGTTGAAAGACAACTGACAGACTAAACACATCTAAGGTGGGACCTTAAAATGCTCTGGATGGTCATGCTTTTTTTTTTTTTTTTTTTTTTTTTAGATTTTTATTTTTATTTATTTATTTATCTTTAGAGGGGAAGGAGAGAGGGAGAGAAACATCAATGTGTGGTTGCCTTTCGTGGGTCCCCTGCTGGGAACTGGCCTGCAGGGAACCAGCCTGCAACCCCGGCATGTGCCCTGACTGGGAATCGAACCGCGATTGTCTGGTTCGCAGGCCTGTGCTCAATCCACTGAGCTACACCAGCCAGGTTGGATGGTCATGCTTTTTGAATGAAGTGGATTTGCTCTGTTGACTGTGTGATGATAATCCCTCATATTTGCAAAGGGTTCTGCTGCTTACAATGTGGTTTCCTCCTCGTTACCTACAGCTCTGGGTCTTACTATCCCTGCTTTGCAGCTGAGGAAGCTGAGGTTCAGCGAAGGTTTTCTGTCCCTCTCCCTTCCCAGACTGGATAGTTGTTCTCTTCGATCTGTGCCCTGTGCCCTGCCCTGGTGGAGTCCTGAACTCACACTTACAGTATTGGGCAGAGAACTGTGTGGGTATGTGTGTTCTCCTGGTCCCACTTTGTTCATCTTTATGTCTTTGCCATCTGCCACACAGTCAGTGCTTAATAAAGCTGGGTTGGAAGAAGTCAGATCTCCAGGCCTTTCTTGTGACAGCCCAAAGAGGAGGTGGTGCTTTTGCAGGAGCACACTTACGAAGTTGTTTACCCCGCTGAGTACCATGGGTTCACCAAGGTGGGGGCCTGTCTTGGTCTGGGACATGGGTTAAGGGGACTGCTGTGGCTCTTGGCCTCTACCTAGACCAGGAATTGTCTAGTCCACACTCTGCGGTTTTACCATTAGTGGTGTTGGCACTTGGTTTAATTTGAGGGAGTCAGGAGGGATCTTAATATGTGGTGTTTTCCCCTATTGACACCCCTTTATGCTTTGTCAATCAACAGGAGCTTGAAGAAATCCGCAAATGTGGAATGAAAAACTTCCGTAACATCCAGGTTGATGAAGCTAATTTATTGACTTGGCAAGGGCTTATTGTTCCTGTGAGTATTGAACACTTCACTTCTTATCAGATTCATCTCAAGGTGTGTGTGTGCTGTTGGGCGTATCTCTCTGTTCCCAAGGAGACTTTCTCGTGTAGGCAACCACCAGACGCACAGAGACAGCTGTCACTCTAGGGTAATAAGGTAGGGACCATGACCTCAGTTTCCTGAGTAGAACCCCAACTTCGTGCTGGTTTTGTAACATTCTGGGGGGTCCTGAGCTTTCCAGGTCTGTTGTTATTGACCCAGGAAAGGAGTGGCATGTGTGTGCTCCTAGCTTTCCTGGCTTCTCTTGGCCTGGCCTCATGTATCAGGACGGGGCCACCTTCTCTGACCTCTCTAGGGAGATGGCAGGTGTTTCCATCTAGGTCTTCTCTTTGCTGTCGCACTTGGGCTTGCCTCTGTGTCTCTAACCCTCAGGACACCTATGTTCCAGGCTTTATTCCTGGTGCCCTTCAGTTTGTGCCTCCCATTTGTCTCAAATCCCTTTGCTTCGTGGGCCGCCTATTCCCTTCACCCACTGTCTTTTCTGGAGCTGTGCCTCCAGTGTCTGCTTCCCACGACTCTACCTCTGTCTCCCTGTTTCACTGACTTATGCCTTTAGACAGGCTCCAGCCTCCTCCTAAGAGCCACTTTCCTGTGACCTTACTGCCTTCTTGACTTACTGTCTGCTCTTTTCCATCCTTTTGTCTCCTCGCCCCTCAAGAGACTTGTTCTGCACTAACTCTAGTTTGTGGTCCAGTTTCTCCCACCCTCCTGAAATTGCTTCACACCAAGCACAGAGGCTCCACTAAGTCCTTACACCTCTGGCTCAGCAACCCAGGGGCCGTGCACCTCACTTACCTCCTGAACCCTTGGAGCCCGCTGTGTCCCAGCCTCCTGTTCTGTAACCAGTGTGTCATTTGCTCCTGTCCTCCTGCTTCCTCTTAACTCTTAGACATGGGTCTAATTAATTCTCTTTCTTGGTCTGTGTTGTTTCTTGGGATCCCTGCTTCTTCCAGCATCCTTGGTTACTGGGAGTTCACTACACATGAGGAAATCCTGTCTCTGCCTCCATTCCTGCCTTCTCCCCAGAGCCACGAGGTGGCCTAACTGAACATTGTCTGCCTTCTAGTCTCTTGTTTCACACCCGGGACCTTTTTCTGTGTGTTCTCTTTTCCTTCCTGTTCTAAAGTCCCTGGAACTTGAATGGCAAATGCTGGGTTTATAGTTTATTTTCATAATCATTCGGATAACTAAGGAAAGCTGTACTTCGTAGTCTTCCAGTAAACATTCAAACATTTTAAGTCCGGGAGTGTCCACTCTGGTGTTGAAGATGGAGTCCTTCAGATTTCTCCGGGCTTGGACGTGGAGGGGCGGAAGGCGCAGAGTGTGGGTAGTGCAGAAGCCCTGCGTGGGCGGGTCAGCCCTTCGCTGCCACAGGTGCCTGTCAGCTTTGACAGATGGCCAGGACCATCTGACTCCCTGGCCCTTTTCTTTTTCTTCTTTTAAAAGAAGTATTAATTTACTTGAGAGAGGGAGAAAGGTTAGGAGAAAGAGAGGGAGAGAAACATGTGAGAGAGAGAGACATTGATCAGTTGCCTCTCACATGTGCCCTGACAGGACTAAACCCAAAACCCAGGTGTGTGTCCTGATTGAATTGAACCGGCGACGTTTCACTTTGTGGGACGGACATCACCCAACCAACTGAGCCATGCTGGGCAGGAACCACCTGTCTCTTTTCTTTCTTTAAACTTTTTTTTTTTCCATAGAGCCTGTTTTTTCTCCCTCCCTCCCTTTTGATTTAATCGTTATTGTATTATTTTCCCATTACCATTCAGTCCCCTTATACCTGCCTCCCCCCCGGCAATCACCACACTTGTTCATTTCCATGAGTCCTTTTTCCTCTACCCTTTCCTAATTGAGATTTTTTTATCCTACTGATATAAGAAGTAAACAGGTAGTCCAGATCATTTGAAAACTGATAAGAATGAATGGGACGGCATTAGGCAGTCAGGCTTGGCTGTGTGATGTGCTCAGTGGCCTGAAAGACTGCAGGCTGGCTCTAAGAGTAGATGGTTGTCAGGCAGGCTCTAACCCAAATGCACAACAAGGCCTCACTCTGGTGTCATTGGCAGAGACTGTGGATCGGGCTGAGGCCCAAGGTGGTGACTAGTTGGTAGAATCCCAACTAGTGTGCTTGAACTGAGGCTCTGGGGAGTGTCCAGAGCCTCACCTTCCATTTGGGGACACTGCCCAGGGACAGTAGACGATGGCCAGGGCTGCCCTCACCCCTGCTCATGCTGCCTCTTTCCATTTTTCCCTCTTATCCATGTAATCACTGCTCTTGGCCCCTGGGTTGGTGTGAGAAGAGTTTTAAGGATGAGGTCGGCTACTGATCCCTCCAGGGTCTCCGTTAGTACTTCCCACCTGGGCCTCAGGCCTTCCTGCTCAGTAGGGGCTGGTCAATATGGGGAATCTTCTACCTAGACTCACCTGGTGTCTACCAGGCTGATAAAGTCATGACACCCTAGAGTGTACCTTTACATCTTGGGGAGCTGCATAGTAAACATACCCTATCCAGAGTTCAGAGAGAAGGCAGAGCCAGATGCCCACGATAGGGAAGATGGGAGGTGAGGCCGGAGAGGCACTCTTTAGAAATACATCATTTTGACCATGGCAGTTTAGGTTTTAATCTTTAAATACATGTTTTAATTTATTTAAACAAAATTTTAAAAAGATTTTATTTCTTTTTAGAGGGGAAGGGAAGGAGAGAGGGAGAGAAATATCAATGTATGGTTACCTCTCATGCATCCCCTGCTGGGAGCTGGCCTGCAATCCAGGCATGTGCCCTGACTGGGAATCGAACCGCAATTGTCTGGTTTGCAGGCCCGCGCTCAATCCACTGAGCTACACCACCCAGGGCCATGTGTTTTTATATATAATTTTTAATTAGAAATTCAGATGTGATGTCTCAGGAAGAAAATAATCCCATAATCCCTTCATGAAGAAATCTCTCAAGCAGAAACTCTATACTCATTAAACAATAACTTCCCGTTCCCCTGCCTCATTCCCTGGTAACCTCTAATCTTCTGTCTCTATGACTTTGCCTGTTGTAGATATGTTTATTAAAATTAGCCATCTGCTATTTGTCCTTTTTATTTTAAGGGTTTTTTTTGTTTTTTGTTTTTTTTAATTTTTAGAGAGAGGGGAAGGGAGGGAGAAAGAGGGAGAGAAACATCAGAGTGTGCTTGCCTCTCAGGTGGCCCCCACTGGGGACCTGGCCTGCAACCCAGGCATGTGCTCTGACTGGGAATCAAACCAGCGACCCTTTGGTTCACAGCCTTCGCTCAATCCACCAAGCTATACCAACCAGGGCTATTTGTGCTTTTTTGTCTGGCTTATTTCACTTATCATAATTTCTTCAAAGGTCATCGATATTGTGCCATGTATCAGACATTTTTATGGATGAATAATATTCCATTATTTGTATATAGCATTTTTGCTTATCCATTCATCTGTTGGTGGAAACTAGGGATGTTTCTGCCTTTTGACTATTGTGAATAATGCCTTTTTGAGCATTGACATGCAAGGATCTGCTTAAGTTCCTGTTTTCAGTTCTTTGGGGTGCAGATATATGTAAGAGCAGAATCGCTGGATCGTATGGTAGTTCTGTGTTCAACTATGAGAAACCAACACACTGATTTTCACAGTGGCCGCACTACCTTAAATTCCTACCTGCAGCGTACAAGGGTTCCAGTTTTTCCACATCCCCACCAGTGTTTATATTCTGTTTTTAAAAAGTTGTAGCTAATCTGGTCGATGTGAACTGGATGTATCATGGTGTTTTTCCCTTCGGTATTATTTACTTTATTGTATTTTTTCCATTACCATTTGGCCCCCTTACATTCCCACCCCCACAATCACCACACCATTGTTCATGAGTCCTTTTTCCTTTTCGCTCAACCCCTCCATCCTGCCCTGCCCCGCCCTCAGAGCTGTCATCTTCTGGTGGTCTTGATTTGCATTTTCCTATTGACCAAGAATGTTGAACATCTTTTCACGTGTCTTTGGAGAAATGTCTATTCAAGTACTTTGCTCTTTTTATTTTCTTTAAAGACCGTGGGTTTGGGGTGTTGTGGGTTTTTTTTTAATTTATTTATCTTTAGAGGGGAAGAAGAGAGGGAGAAAAACATCAATGTATGGTTGCCTCTAGTGTGTCACCTGCTGGGAACTGGCCTGCAGGGAACTGGCCTGCAACCCAGGCATGTGCCCTGACTGGGAATCGAACCAAGATCCTCTGGTTCACAGGCCTGTGCTCAATCCACTGAGCTACACCAGCCAGGGTGGTTTTTTTTTAAGAGTAGCTTTAGGCCTGGCTGGTGTGGCTCTGTGGTTTGAGTGGTTTGTGTGCCAGCCTGTGAACCAAAGGGTCCCTGGTTCAATTCCCAGTCAGGGCACAGCCCTGGATTGCAGACCAGGTCCCTAGTAGGGGGTGCATGAAAGGCAACCACACACTGATGTTTCTGTCCCTCACTTTCTCCTTCCCTTCCCCTCCTTCTAAAATTAAATAGATAAAATTAAGGAGAAAAAAAGAGTAGCTTTAGGTTCACAGCTCCTTGAACCTTTTTAAAAGGAAGGTACAGAGATTCTCTATATACCCCCTGCCCACATACATGTATAGTCTTTGTCAGCATTCCCTGGAGAGTGGTACATTTGTTATATTTGGATGTACATTGATGCATCATAGTCACCTAAAGTATATAGCTTACATCAGAATTCATTCTTGGTATTGTACATTCTATGAGTTTGGACAAATGTATAATGATATATATCCATTATTCTAGTTTCATACAGAGCCTTTTCATGGCCCCGAAATTCTGTGTTCTACCTGTTCATTCCTTCCTTCCCCTCTTCCTCCCCAACTCCCATAACCCTCTGGCAACTTCAGGTCTTTTTATGGTATTGTTACAGAACACCAGGTGGGGGGGGGGTATTTGGCCTACCAAGGGATGCCAAAA